GTAGGTAGTGAAGGTGAATTGAGAGAAGAACGAAGAAAGAAGAGGAAAGTACAAACAAACAAACAAACAGTAGGACTCTGTAGGAGGGGAGTTCCGATGTGAAGGTGACGGTTACTTGGCTCCCATGGACCCCTTCATAGAGCAGAGCCTCTTGAGAACTCATGAGTTGTTGTAAAACCTTTTGTAAACGAGTGGATGGTCCACTTAAACAATACGATTCGAGTGTACCATCTTCAAAATCATTTTGAAACAAAAGGTCCACTGCATTTGGAAGGGTTTTGCAGACTATTGCACCAGCTTGGTCTGACATCTTGGTAGCTCTTTCTAATAAAGGAGAATGTAGACAAAACTCACAAAACATATCTCCTGCGAAAGCTTCTCAACCTGTTGGTCGACGTAACAATAATGACATTTGTCGATATGCCACTCATAGTTTACTTAGATCATCATAGATTTTCATGGATAATTAGAGTTTACTTAGGGTTGCGCTGGTAAGAGAAGAAGAGACCACTTGCACTCCCCGGGAGGCTCCGCCCGGGATAAGTTATCCCGGGCGGAGCCTCCCGGGGAGTGCAAGTGGTCTCTTCTTCTCTTACCAGCGCACCCCTCGCACCAGCTCAGGTTGTTCTGGACAAAAAAAAAAAAAAAAAAAAAAAACTCCCGGGCTTTCTCTGAATTTGTCTAAGTCCTTGTAAATTGGGGCCCTTTCCTCTTTGACACGTTGAATCAATATATGATCTTCGTTCGGTTTTGAGATGGAGCTTCAATCGCACCAATCTTCGGTCTTCGAATGTGCCTTCGGTCTTCGAATGTGCCTTTTCGGGAATTGGACCAGTGAACTGCAATCTTCACTGCCGTCTTATCAAAAGCATCTCCCGCATTTCTCGCTTGAGACTCCTCTTCAATGAACCTCGATTGACCTCGGGGATAATTTATTTATTATAATTTAATGCTTTCATGAGAATTGGCAACCCGGGGTGAGTTTTACTTTCTTCTTGAAATGAAAACCATTGGACAATTTTTTTTCTATACAGGGCTATCACTTTCTCTGGCAAGACTTTCCAATCTTTTTATATGATTATATACACCTTACTCTTGTATAAAAAGATTGGAAAGTCTTGCCAGAGAAGGTGATAGCCCTGTATAAAAAAAAAAATTGTCCAATGGTTTTCATTTCAAGAAGTAAAACGCACCCCAAACCTATCTTACTTGTTGTTTGGGGTAACTAGGTGTAGTTAGTAGTTACCCCAAAAGATACGTTGGGGGTAACTATCTTACGTGTTTCGGGCACTGTACCTGACCGGAAGCTGGCTTGTATACATATTGCCCGAAGTGCAATTTGAAACTCGTTTTGGCCCGAAGCGCACTTGGGGCTATCACCTATCTTACTTGTTGTTTGGGGTAACTACGCGTAGTTACCCCAAACAACAGTTTGAAATTACACTTCGGGCCAAAACGAGTTTCAAATTGCGCTTCGGGCACTGTACCAGACCGGAAGCTGGCGGGTATATATATTGCCCGAAGTGCAATTTGAAACTCGTTTTGGCCCGAAGTGTATTTTCAAACTGTTTTTGTGACTCCCGCATAGTTTCCCCTTGTTTCCCCCCCCCAAATCTGCGTTAGCTGACGCAGAACTAAAGAATGCAATCCTCCAGGTAGACCGAACATTCAAGAGTGCGACTTGGGTTATAGAAGGTGACATTACCAATTTACCACAGCCTGGCGGCTGCCTCACAAGGTTATTCTAGGAATTCTTTTAGAAGAAATTGCTTGTAGAAAATTTATGAGCTTAGTCCGGATATAACCTGTCTCTTATACACATCTAGATGTGTATAAGAGACAGGGTCTTGGTGGACCACGGATCAGGGGCGCGTAGTTCTCTCTCTCTCTCTCTCTCTCTCTCTCTCTCTCTCTCTCTCTCTCTCTCTCTCTCTCTCTCTCTCAGAGTGCATCTTCTCCCTCCTTGCGAGGTTCGTGTCTTGGCAGAGTAAACTGCTCTGAGAAAATTGAGACGGCTGAGTGAGCTCATCCACAGTGTCTATTTTGCGGCGAAAGTGACCCACATCCATGAAATTGATTTGATTGAATGGTTTTTGTATTGGCCTTGTTGCTTATCCTGTGAGGCAAGTGTGTAGTGTCACTACACTTGTGCATTAAGTGATGTATATCCCTCAGTTGATTGACGTTGGTTAGCGTTCAAATCTCGTGGCCGACCATATGTTGTTGTGGTCTTTCAAATCCAAATGGTTGATCGTTACTCGCGGGGTTGCAACATAATGTTATTTCTCATCAGTCATGACCTCTACCGAAAAAAAAAAAAAAAAAAAAAAGAAGAAGAAGACTCAAGTCAGGCTCAAGGACAGTTGTCTTTCTTGTTTCTTGACACATTCTTCGCTTCTTTTTTTTTTTTTTTTTTTTTTTTTTTTTTTTTTTACGAAAAGTCACGCTCTTTGCTAATTTCTTGACCTGCAACAAATTTCTGTGTTTGGATTCTGTGGAATGCTGGATGCTTCCTCTCTCTTAACACTGTTAACAGTGTCATGATTCTTGCCTGATTTTTTTTCTTTTTTTTTGCCGGTCAAAATATCACTTTTTTTTTTTTTTTTACTAACTTAGCAAAGAGCGCGTCTTTTTTGTACCGCTTTGTGTGTTGTGTCTGTCGGTCGCTGATCATCCGTTTGCTGATTTGTGTGTCTGACTCATGATTGTGCAGGGCCGACTCCAATCTTCTGTGTCTAGGTCCAATTTTGATCGATGTCCCTGAGGATCAACGTCTAATCATCATCTCTTTCTGATGTGATTTTCATGTTTTCAGTCTTTTGACAGATGATCTAAAATCATGAAAAGACGTATCGAATCACCAACTGGTTTGAGCTTCGAACTGCCTGTAAAACGATGAGCCCCTCGAATATGATCTGCCGTCAGTGCTTCGGTTCTCCAAATTGTCTGGTCACTTTTTCCTATGACGTGCTTGTTGTGTTTGCGGTTGCAGTTTCAGTCGCTCTTGTTTTGTCGCCCACTCTGCTCTGTAATTGGAAGACGTGGAATTCAATGCATAACATATGCAACACATTGATTTCATCAGAAAACCATCGGTACATCCGAACAGTTTGGCCATGCATGTGCCAGCCATTGCCACGGTGCTGCGACGGTTCGATTCACATGAATTTATCCATGCGCGGTAGCCCGGTTCATCTGAGCAAGTCCTGGCGCGTGCAGAGCAAAACTCTTCGGGAAGCAAAGGCACGGTTCGGGAGTACACATCACTGCAAACATGGGAAATGGTCTTCGAATTTTGAAAATGGTAGATTCGCCAGAATTGAAGAATCTTCACTCACACACACAACACCAGCTAAACACCCTTTGCTTTGGATCAATCCACTTGTTGTAATCAACGATTTCAAATATTTGACGTCGTGATAATTGAATTACAACTTTGGTTTCCTGCTGATTGCCCCGAATCTTGGATTGTTCCTCAGTGTTAGAATTCAGAGGACCAAGACTCATAGGGGTTCCCAGCAAATAGCCCAGTGGTAAGAGACAACTTTACAGCTCCCCCCGACTCCCCGTTGTTGTCTGCCCATAGAGAGAGGGGGGAATAAACACTGGGGAAAGTTGGGAAACCCAAGAAACCTGCTCGATGCCGCTCTGTGATGCCCACCTGAGATGCGGCTAGTATGTGGTTCGCATGCCTTGTGCCGTGAGGATTATGAAGGGAGTGCTGTAGTTTAGCCGATGTCAGAACGTTGCGGGCCCCGGCCGGAGCCGGGGCCTTTGCCCTTTGCACTGTAAACCTGGATATGCAGGAGCGGGGGCCCGGTAGAGAGATCTGGGGATTCGTCGAGGGTGGAAGACAGTCCACTGGCTATAATCGAGGGCGACTGCCAGTAGAACGAGAGTCGGAGCTGGAGTGGGTCGCGCTGCTGCGCTCTAACCTAGCACTATGTAACCGTTTGAACGCCAAGATTGG